CCGAAGACAAATTCCTTGTATATATTTTATACTTGGTCATTAAAGTATTTTGTATCTTTTTGTATTTGCCATTCACAATTCTGAGACTAGGAAAGCAATAATCTGACTTCAACGTCTTTTAAATGCCTGTACCAACTCTCCCCATCAGATATCCTCCAAATGTATTGAATTATGACCCTTATCATTCCCAGCCAACATATCTTGAGGGCACAAGACTGGGGAAGCCTATTTTACTCAGATCTCACAATACTTTAAACTAGAAGCCATCACTGGATATATAGTGGCGGGAAAATGCTACCATCACCACTCCGATATGGGGAAATGATGATTTGTGCAGCAATGGCCTCTAATGGAATATTACACTGCAACAGAATGTGGGCATGAAGAAGCATGTGTGGATTGCTGGTAACCAGGATCAAATTTTGCTCAATATGCCACTGGGCGAAAGCCTGGCATAAAGCAATTCATATATGCTTGTTCATATGAACTGTTATAAATTCCCTTTATGAAGAGTGGCCTTTTCCATTACTCTGACTGACTTACAGTTTGCTTCCAACATGAGGTTTTACTTCTTGTATGGAGCTATTTATTACTTTATGGTACTTGTAGCAGGCATATATACAGCTAGTTGCTTAATTGCAAGTAAATAATATCAAGTACCTATGGGAATCTCATACGCACTTAAAAGCAGACATGCAATTTAAAAGGTGACATATATCTTAGATTTCTCTTTCAAAATGAACTGAAAATAACTGCATCTGAAATGTGTAGACTTAATTATTTTGCTATTATCTTAGCTAGAAGCCACTGCATATAAAAGTATTTATTACTAATTGGCAAATTTTTATTGATTTCTATGCCTGTACATGATAAAAGGTAAATAAACTCTACTAGCTGAAAAATGCCTCTTTGTTATACAGTACTTAGAGCTACACTACGTATGTTTACCCAGAAATATGACCCATTAAAAAAAGTAAGTGTACTTCACACTGTAGCCTTGGAGATATTCTTTGATATGCTACATTTGAGCACAAACGTGCAGATGTCCTTATTTTCCTTCCCCACCTTATTCTATTTTTTCACATTTTATCTGGTATGAATAAAAGCTGTATTGATACGAGTTGTTGTTGTTGTAGGGAAAAATAGGTTTTGTACTTATTAGATATGTCCATACCAAAGAAAAATACTACTATTAAATACTATTAGGCCAACTCCTGTGTTACCTGAATTTCTGTTTGTAAGTTGCTATGTTACTTTAACCAACCAGGCATGAAGACAAAGACAGTAGCACTCTCTAACCTTCTGTTTTCCTGTTCTCTTACTGAAAAAAATTAAAGTGGAAAATACAATTGACAGAATAACAAATAATCCTACAGCATTGAATGTACAAATAAGAAACACAGAATGTTATGTTTTATTGAAAAAAATAACAATGAGTGACACATGGATAAATCTTTTACCAACACTTGCATCTGATTTTAAAAATCACATGGGAAGAAGGCTTCATCCATTAAATGGAGTAAATAGTTTTAAATGATTTGACAGTATGCATAACTCATCGCATTCAGTTTACAGAGCCCTTTACCATATTACAAACACACTCATATACAAAACGGTTATGCATATTGAGTGTTAGGAATGATGGCAGAAATATTATTAATCTAGATTCAATATTAAAAGAAAAACAGTCACTTCATATTAGGCCTAGTAGGCTTTGACACTATAAAGAGAAATATGTGCTTTCTATTCCTGATATTAGCTTTTTCTCAACTGTGCCCTTCTAAATGTGTAAACATTTTTCATTACATTCTTGTATTCAAGCCATTCTAAGTTCTGAACATCTTCATTCTTTTCATTACTAGAAAATTAAGTGCTTAAACAAAACGAAAAAATGTATCAAGTTTTCATTGGTGTAGAACAGCCCAACTTAGGGCTTTCCGGATGTGCTGGGACTACATCTAGTTTCAACACATGTGGAGGGCTCTAAGCTGAGAAAGATTTGGGTCAAGTTCTGAGCATTATTTGAACTATTTGAAGTAATTGGGGAGCTGTTTCTCTTCTACATTAAGAGTGGGAATTCAGTGTCCCTGCAGACATTGTTGGACTACAGCTCCTACTTGTCCAGATCAGTGACCACCCTGATTGGGGCTAATGGGAACTGGAGTCCTGCAATATTTGCAGGGTCCCAGGTTCTCCACTCTTACACCATGTTACCTAGATTCTAGATTCTGCTTCATGTGTCACACTTTCCTTATACAGAAAAGTTTTAGAAGGGAAAAAAGGGGGCAAAAATAATGCTTAACATATATAGTCAACTGTGACTGCCATCCACTGAAAACTCAGAGGCCTGTATCTATCAGTAATTTCCAAACATTTTCTGAACAGGAAGAAAAAAACAATGGTATAGAAAATTGTTAAAAATCTTGATTTCCAATTTTTCACTGTGAACCCAGCTGTGAAATTATTGTGCTTGGGTCAGCCTCTTTAATCTTTATAGCTTCAAAAATCATACAATAACCTTATTCAGGGCACTTAAAACAGGCTATTGATAATAAAAGTGGTTTGGGGGATGCATGAGCTCAATAGGAGAATATACTATCCTAAATGGATGCCTCTGAAGCTAGGGAGTGTATGTAAAATAAATGTAGTCAGTATAATATTACAATGACCATGTCAAGCTACAACTGGAGATTCTGATTTAAAGCCTGCCAATCAGCCATTAAGCAAACTGAATAACCTTCAGCTGGTCATTCTCAGCCTAACCTACCTCATAGGGCTGTTCTAAGAACAAAGTAGAGGGAAGAATCATGTGGAGTGCCACTCTGAGCTCTTTGGAGAAAAAATGAGGTATTAATTTAACCTTAATAATAATCAAGAATACTAGTATTCACACAAGATTAATTTAATATACGTTAGATCAGCTTTCCCCTAACCAAGTGCCTTCCAGAAGAGTTGGACTACCCATGTTGGTCACAAATGACAGATGTTGTAGTTCTACAGATCTGAAGGCAGCAATTGGGAAGATGGCTTTACATAGTTTATTAATCCCAGACTGCTATTTATTTAACCAACGTAATTTTTATTGCTAGTTTTCTTCCCAAAAACATCTTACTCCCATTCTAAATAGCCATCCCTAACAAGGAGACAGAGAAATCTATTACATTCTTTGACTCGTTCCATTTTAAATCTAAGTAACTTCAGTTCAAAGTCTCAATGACAGCAAGGCAACTGAAGAGACCAAGATCTTGGAGAAAGGTTCCCATTTAAAAACAAGTGAGCTCCTGTTAAATGGATTTCTAAAGGCAACTCAAACAACAATTGAAACAGGAGCAAAAAAAAGGCACTGAAATAAAAATAGCTATAACAGTAGCACATTTCATAGTAAGGGACATTTGTGGGGTAATGGGAATTACCAATACATTCACTATTGGGTACAATCAGAACAAGTCCTTTTAAGTTGTCTGCACTAGCCTTCCCCAGCTGAGTAGAATTCAAATGTGTGGAGACCACAATTTTCAGATTTTTACTGGCCTGTCATACCCTGGGTTGGTGAAGGGCTGGTGTATATTAATATCTCAAGCACTGGACTGCTGGATACTGCAAAAACAAAGCACGTGTGCAGCTGCTAGTTAAATGTAAAAGCTATAGGCTCCCATATCAGAGCCTTGCTGGAGAAAAGAAGAACTGAAGTATCTCTTTCTGGCCCTTTCTAATTTAATCCCACAAATGGACAAACAATATGCTGAAGAAACAAAGATTTTACACCAACCTAACTCTCCCCCTCATTGACCCCTCATGGCCTAAGTACAGTTTTGACACATCAGAGCATGACAGCAGATTAGTTGTTAAAACGCATCCTGAAAGCACTGCTGGGCAGTGGGCCAACCCAAGTAATAATAGGCTGCAATCTTGTTACATATCATGTGAAAACTTTCACACAGCCACATCCCATCCTCACATATATGCCCATGTCATCACTTCAATCTTATTCAACTAGGATAAGGGCAGCTTTGGAGCTGCATATATAAATCCACAGGATTATGTTTTTTCTAAAAAATGTGTGATGTTACGCATCACAGCTAGATCAAAAAATGCTTTGACTTGGTACCTAAAATTCTTAGGCTTAGGTAGAGAAAAGGGAGAAAGCTAAGTGCCAAATTAGAGAAGGGATAAACATGGGGGAGCAGATTTTGCTTTAAACAGCAATCCTACTAGTATTTAGGACCACAATTCCCATCATACCCAGATAGAGCGGGAGACCTTAGGAACTGCACTCCCACACACTTACTAGGTTGGGAAGCCAGGTTTTTTGTTTTTTGTCTTAAAAAGAGACTACGATCACTTAAAAAGCACATTTAAAAATGTCCATTTTTCAAATTACTTTTAAGAATAAATTATTTTTAAAATCTAAGTTTTAAAAAACTTAATGCTACTCCCCCACCAATCAAATGTTACTAAAGTAATCCTCATTAAATTGTAATCTATGCCATACAAGATGTCCAAATCTGATTGAAAAGCTAAATGCGTGTTCTTGAAGCTTACTATACTTTAGCAAACAGCTTCTAGGTGATACTGCATGATGTGCTCGATTTACAGATTCCAGATGTTAACAACTAAAACTCTCCTTGTTGCTATTAACCTAGCTAGCACTGATGGGATCTGTAGTCCAATAACATTTGGAGTATTGCAGTGCCTTAGCCCTGCCCTAGATTGTATCTCCCCCTTAAATCACTGGGGAATCTAGATGAGTCTCCACTTATCTAAAAGGAAGCATTAGAATTACGCTTACAGAAACATCAAGCATTTTAAATAGGGCAAGGAGATTACAAAGTTTGAGGAGTGTGCAAGTCTTGCGCAGTATAGCTGAAAGCCACCTAAATTTTAGTCAGTAAAAATAACAGCTAGTATTCTAGGAGCTGTATAATAAACACCAAATAAAAACAATCTAGAGAAGTCCATAGATATACATACAATTTCTTCATGGAGTAGGGAAACCAATTACATTAATTTGAGCTCATGGATGAGTATGAAAAGGCAGGAAATGTGACAATGGTAAACATGCTTTATATATGCTCTGGATGACTCTGGAGACAGGAGATCATCTCTTGGACAGGCTTTCCTTCATAGCAGATTCGATAAACAGCAGTAAATAGTGGAAACCTAAAAAATAAGACAGGCAATCATCTTAGTGGATGGAGAGGATGAAAGCTATCAGTGTCCACCTTTCATGATGCTCTGATGACCAAAAAGAATTTGAGACACCATGTATTTATTTATTTGATGTTCATCTCTTTTTTCTATTCAGGCAAGTATATCTAAATGCACTGGTCCCTAAATTACGAAAGTAGAGTACATTAAAAAAATACAGCAGCTAAATTGTGTAAAACTTTAGAGGGGGAAAATATCTAACTTCCTTTTCTTTTCACTATATTCTGTAGGCAAAGGTTACCAGATCATGTTACAATGTACTCATTATTTAAATCACATACATAATGCCCCATATACAGTGCCAATGTGGTGTAGTGGTTCAGGAACTGGATTAGGAATGGGTGGACCCAGGTTCTAGTCCTCCCTTAGGCATGGAAGCCAGCTGGGTGACTTTGGGCAAGTCATTCTCTCTCAGCACAGATCTGCTTCTGGCTCTGTGATTAACAAAACCCCTTGTTGCATCATGTAAAACAAGTGGGCCCTACAACCATGCTGGACAAATACTAAGAAAAACAACAACACATGTATATCTCTCCTGTCCCTCCCTGCCATGGATATGTTAAAAATGAGAACCAGATATCACGAATTTCAAGACTGATTTGTCCTTTGCAGGAAGACCAAAATGTTCCAGCTATTTTCCGTTTCAAAACACAAGAACTTCACAAATCACAAGAACTGAAAATCAAATTCTGCTGGAGTTTTCAAACCACTCTATGAACTATTATGTAGGTCTTGTTTCTCTGTTTTGTCTTCTATTAGTTGTTGTTGTTCAGTCGTTAAGTCATGTCCGACTCTTCATGACCCCATGAACCATATCACGCCAGGTCTTCCTGTCCTTCACTGCCTCCCTGAGTTTGCTCAGTTTCATGCTCATTGCTTCAGTGATGCTATCTAACCATCTCATCCTCTGCCATCCTCTTCTCCTTTTGCACTCACTCTTTCCCAGCATCAGGGTCTTTTCCAAAGAGTCCTCTCTTTGCATTAGGTGACCAAAGTATCTGAGCTTGAGCTTCATTATCAATCCTTCCAATGAGCAGTCAGATATACTAATATGTAGGTCTTGTTTGTTTGCTCAGTTTCATGCTCATTGCTTCAGTGATGCTATCTAACCATCTCATCCTCTGCCATCCTCTTCTCCTTTTGCACTCACTCTTTCCCAGCATCAGGGTCTTTTCCAAAGAGTCCTCTCTTTGCATTAGGTGACCAAAGTATCTGAGCTTGAGCTTCATTATCAATCCTTCCAATGAGCAGTCAGATATACTAATATCTGTACTAATAGATGTACTAAGATCTATTAGTAGATCTTATAATAAAACAGAGAAACAAGAGGGCCCAAGGGGATAGGGTGGGGAGGGGGAGAACATAGAATAAAGACAAGTCCTAAAAGTAACTGCCAGTTAAACAAATTGGTACATTGCTTCTGATTAAAGAAAATAAACCAGTGAGTGCAGGAAAAATACTATTGTAGGGACTTAGGATAAACACTTTTTGGAATTTCAAGTAATCAAGCATGCAAACATTCTCTTATTATTGGAATGTGATACCAATTTAAAAAAGCACCAAGATAAAATTATGGTTTGGTTTTCTATCAGAACAAGCAGAATGAGACAATTTATATTTTAATATTATTATTGGGAGATTATTTAAATATATAGCTTTGTAACCCATTAATATCCCATTCCTGGCAGACTCAGTAGAAGAGGAAGATCACTTCACTTCCCAACATGGTCCCAAACGATCCAAAAGGTTTTGAAGCAGATTTGGGAGGCGTCTGAGGTTGAAAATAGGAGGAAGAAATTAGCAAATTAGTAGCTTACTTACTTGTCCACCAGACCTTTCTGCTGAAGGATACGATACACCTCTGCAGAAGTCTGTGGTCCTTGAAGTTTCTGCCCATTCAGCATTTCTTGCTCCAATTCTTCAATAGTCTGAATGTTAAAAAAAAAAGTATTTCTAAGGTTCATAGATACAGATAAGAACCTAAGATGACTAGTACTCCCCACATCACCTGTTTGTTAATAGTTTCAGATAGAAATCATACTTCCTAGTTCTTAGTTGGTTAGCCCTCAATCTACTTCAAAAGCAAGCAATTATCAAGTTCTACTCTTATTACAATTTGCAGCTAATCTGTTGTCTGCAATATCTGTGAGGACACTGGCATTGTGGTTATGACTTTGCCTAGCTTTACCATTACTTTTAACACAGCTACTTCTTCTGTGGCAATTTCTGAAGTTCTGATTGAGAGTGGTCATTAACTATTAGGTGGGATTTGTTTTCTTTTTACTTTTTTTTTTTAAACAAAACTAATATAGAGTCCTCTAAAAATAATTGCTAAGGAAATCATCATTAAAAAAAAAAAAAAAAA